ACTTAAGGCTTTCTTCAATGTGTTGGCTTAAAGTTGATCAATGCAAGTGCAAGATCTCATGATTCCCATGACCCAGTGAACCTCCTGGATAAGGCATTCTCAAGAGGTGAGTCCTCCCACTGTAGCTTTGAGTCTGCCTGATAGATTCAGGCAGAATGATGACAGATGATAGTCTGATGATAGATTCAGAAGATGACCAGAGTGCGGAGCAGAAGTGCAAATCACCAGGGACCCAGAAACTTTACCATCCCTCCTATCTTCTCTCTCTGTCCTCCCCAAAATATCCTCCCAGGGATGACTTTAGTACTATCTCGATAAGTGATTGGGCAGCTCCAATGATGCATAATTTCCCAGGTGCCAGCAGATGACTCAGAGAATAATAATGACAGCCTGGCGCTCTGAGAGCCACAGAAGGTCTTAAATGCCCACTTCCTTGCTAATCACAGGACTTTCAACGGCCACTTTACATACATCCTTTCTGATGAGGATTCAAAGAATGCCACATGAGACCTCCTACACACGTCTACTCTATTAGCACTATTTTAATTTTGTACAAATCTTTTCCTTTTTCAGAGTACTGTTATCTCCTTTGATACAAATGGCACTTCACAGGCAGGGCAAATATTAGCAAACCCATCTTACAGATGAAGAAATTGAAGCTTATAGGGGTGAGATATATTGCTTGAGGCCACAAGGTTGCTGCTAATATTTAGCTACAAGCTGCTCCCACAATTGGCATTTGAGAAGAAAATCTTCACTGAGAGGCTGAGCACCTGACTGACTCCCCAGAGTCTGGACTCAGCACTTACAGAAGGATTCATCTGTCCTTGGTCTCTCACAAAACAGGTTCCCTCTGGCTTCACGGGGGTGGTTGGGCCTCAGGCTTTGGCAGACCAACTAGAATATGAGTCCCAGCTCTGATATTTACTCTCCATGAGCGTTGGGACAAATGACTTAATCATTCCAGTCTTTGGTCCCCTCTTCTGTAAGATGGGATGATAATAGAGACCATGTCACAGGGATATCATGAAGAAATGCAATGAAATATATAGAACATCAAATAAATTAAAACTAGTATTATCAGTCATGAAGTGAGGAGTTGGTAGAAGGTAAGAGGTCCCAGGGGTAAAAGAGAGGGAAGATAAATAAGATTGGTGACTCTGATAACTTGCCCTAAGTGTCCTAGCCACAATGTCCAGAGCATTTGCTGAGAACAGAAATGGGAATACCGCCCTCAGTTGTCTGGGAAGCCCTGGCCCCTGACTTACCAGAGCTGGCTTAGCTGCCAGGAAATGATATGGCTCTGGGAAGCGGCCGTGAGTCAACCTGGTCTCTCCCCTGCCTCCGCCTCTGCCTCTGGGATCCCTTTCACATGGCAGCAGTGCCCAGCACAGTCTGGCAAGCGACAGGGCCCCAAACCAGCTCCTGCCTCCATCACCAGAAGAAAGCCCCATTTTCTATTGGTTGGGGCAATCAGCTGAGCCCAGGAGAGACACGAGGCAGGTGGACTAGCCTCCTTCAGTGGACACTCTGCTCACCTGGGCTCAAGGCATCCAACCATCTCAAAGAAGCCTGGGGGAGAATGTTTACAGACACAGAAAATAGAGTCTTGATCCTTCTTCAAACCACCCAGGTCATCTAATGCACCATTTCCATGGCATTTATAGAAAAAAAAGCAGTGGAAAATATTAGCTGTTGGATCCTTTGTTGAAAAGTTTGTTTGTTTGTTTTTGTTTTTGTTTTTGTTTTTTTTGCTTAAAGCTGACAGGGACTTGTTATTTGTCTGCAAGATGAGCTCAGGCCTTAGACAGGTTCCTTCACCTACTGGATGACCAGATGGAGAGGAACCCTGCAAAACACTGCAGACCCAGGTGACCTGAAAGACTTGAAGCAATCTACTTCAAATATGAGCTTTTAGCACAGGAGAAAGATACCCATCAGAGGTCAAATGCCATGAACAGCACCACGGAAGTGCATCTTTCAGAACAGAAAGAGATTATGCTACTGCAGCACGTTTGGGCCTGACCACCCCCATACATTCATTATACACCAGCCCCCAGCCCCCTAAAACATCCTCTCTCTCGTGTGCGCGCCCCCATCACTTCATCTTGGCGGTTCCATTCAAGTCCCATTCGTCCCATCTGGTCCTCCAACAGCATTGTCCTGAGTCACCAGTATCCCTCATCCCAGTCCTCCAAACTGGGCTGTCTGTCATTCCTCTGAGGGGCTCTTGACTCATAAAAGTCAGAGCTAGAGAGGACTTTTAGAAAAAACTCTGTTGTGTTTTCTTCATCTTATAGACAGGGATGTGGAGACCCAGAGAGACACAGGACTTGCCCAAGCTTACCCACCTAGGGTTGGAGAACTGGACCAAGGAGGCCACTGTCCTGAGTACAAAGAAACGCAGTGTTCTTCCTAGCCAGCCCCCTGGGAAGGCCTCCCGCAGAGGGCTGAAAAGGGGCCATGCTTCCCCCAAGCCTATGCCTCGTCTTTAAGGGAAGAGAAAAGCGAAGTGAAGTTAATGTCCATCCACCTACTTCTCTGGAAGGAAGTCTCAGAGAACAAAAACCTCTCTCTAAAGTAGGCAGTTCAACCCCCAGGGCCACATGAGCCATTAGAAATAGCAGCTGATCTCCCACATTCTAAAAAGCTTGCAGAGAAATCAGGCAGGATCTAAAAGAAGTCGCTCATCTGTATAAATAGAGGACAACAAAGTCAAGCTGGGGAGGCGTGGTGACAGAAATCCTTCCGGCTCTCAAGTTCCCTGATTCCAGGACTCTTAGAATGGACAGGATTTGGCCTGGAGAACAGAAGGCCGAGGAAGCAAGACTTTCGTAATGGGGCTTTTCAAAGGGTTATAGACAGACGAGACCAGAAAAAGATGAAGGTAAAAGAAATAGGCTCCCGTTACATAAGGAAGATCCAGATCAGACATCCCTGAGAACCCCTAAACTGTGAGAAGCATGAGGCAGGAAATCAAGAAAGGATACAAGGCAGAGAAATCCAACGTCTTGACCTTGGAGCTTCTTTCAACCCGGGAGGGCAGTGCAGCTGAGAACCTTCTTCCACCATGGAGTTGAATTATGAATTTCCTGGGAGTGAGCCATCCTTAACAATAAGACCCAGGTTCTCCACGGAAATCCAGGCTCCCTCGAGTGGTCTGCTGGCTGCCTACAGGGGTCAGTCTGTGCAGCAGAACTGGGGGATAAGGTAGTGGGGAGGGTCAGAGAATGTTCCAGCAACCAAGGGCTCCCTTTTGTTCTTTTCTCTCCCCCTCTCCCTTTTCAGCATCCATGTTAATGAAAATAAGCCTGCACAGCTTCTTCTTCAGCCCAAGAATTCGTTCAGAGCAATTTGAAGCCAATTGAATGAACAGGAATAAACGAGCCGATATTGCAGTTTTTGGCTGGCTGCTCCAAGACCCCAGGCAGCGATTAGAGGCCCTCGGTCCTTTTTATGCCCACAGCAAGAAGACGGGTGAAAGCTGGTCCACTTAGGAGCTCTAAACAGGAGGTGCGTTGGTGAGGAATAAGATGGGTAATTATAGTCTGTGTTAATACCCGGACGGTGGCTTTGCTACCTGGACCTGAGAAATCATTAAGTGATTGAGTAAAAGATTGAAACAGTGGGAGGCAGCGATTGCTTTGTTAGGCCCATGGACAGACAGGAGCGAAGAGTCCCCGTGGGAGGGAAAGACAATTGGTACTTCTGGTCAACCCTGGCTGCTGCTGGACGGACACTGGCCCAACACTGATTCACTCTCCCTAAGCAGCAGGGGAGATAAGTGTGACTCACAGGCACAGGCGCACACACACACACACACACACACACACACAGAGGCACACACACATTTCCTTGAAATGTCGCTTGCTCTCTGTTCCCCTTCCTCCTCTACTCCCACTGCTGGGAAGTGACCCTGAGCGCCTCTTTGGAGTCGTACATGTTCTCTCTTCCCCAGGACAGAGAGAAGGGACAGGTTTACAGCGCTCTTTCTATGATGTGTCACCAGCTCGTTCTTGTGGCCAAGGTTACCGATTTCCAAGATGGCTGTCCGGGATTCTGGGAATGTTTGAGAGGTGGAATCCACAGTCTTGAACTCAGAACTAGAGGAAAGTGTTGCACAGTTATGGTTGACCTTGACTGAGCACCTAAACGTCAGTGGAACATATCAGAAAGAGGCCCTTGGGATCCGTACAAAAAGAAGAAATGCAATCTTTATCAGGACACCCTATACCCTGAGGCATTTTGTTCCCCTCCACTTTTCTGAGAATAAAATCAAAGATAGTGTTTTCTCTAAAACTCCCACCACATACCTACTTTGTTCTGCTTTGTAGCAGCTGCACTGAGGCCATAAAAATGAATAAGGTTTAGTTTCCTGATCTCAAGAAACTAAAGGCTTTTAACGGAGACAGATAAGTAAACATATCATTTCCATCAATACCCCAGAAAATCCCGTGTTGGAAGTGGGTACACGGTGTTACAGGAACACAGAAGAATGCACCGAATCCAGCCACAGGCTTGATGTGAGTGTTTCTCAAAGGCAAGGAGGAGCAGTGAGTCAAAAAGAGGAGACCAGACTGTGCTGGTGGCTCTGGCAGAGAAAACAGCACCAGCAAAAGCAAGAGGCGGGAAATTGCAAGGTTCATGTGGGGGAAGAACTGCTGGCCCAGCACTAAGAAAACATAGAACTGGTGCAGATCGGCAGGCAACATGGGATCCGCAGCAGGATTTTTCAGTAAAGATGAAGAGCCATTGAAGGGTTTCAAACTGGTGGGTGAGGGGTAGGGGAAGAGGTGAGGTGTGACCAGATTTCAATTTTTAGACCATGGATTTGAGGAAGTCTTGGGGCAAGGAGACCAGTTAGGAAGCTGTGGCAAAAGTCCAGTCCTGAGGAGGCATGATGAGGTCTGCCCTGGGTCTGACTTCACAATGGAGAGAAGGGGAAGGATGTGGGGGATCCTCAGGACAGTGAGTGGGTGCTTGACTGGATATGGGTCATGATGAATTCACAAGAGTAAGGATGGCCATCAGACTCCTGGCCTGGATGAGCCTGGCTGGATCTGACCAAGAGGAAGACAAGGTTTGGAAGAGGCTTGGGGCTGGTTCCATTTGACAGAGGAAGCCCCAGGGCCTGGAGCTGTCCTATTGTAGAAATTCTACAGAAATGTTAAAACCTAGATCCCTGTCGCAGTGCAGCTCAGTGGCTTAAGAAAGGCATTCGGCGCCTGGCTGCTTCAGCTTCCCTATATGTAAACTGGAATACTCACTCTCCTCGACTCACCTTCTGCAAATAGACTGTGGAAACCAAATATGAAAATGTATTTCAAGCACTTTAGAAATAAAGTTGCTATATAAATACAATGGATTTAAAGTCTCTGTGCTGAGCATTCCCTGGTTTCCCATTGCTACAAAATAATTTAAGATGCTGAACTCATTTTGTGATTGTTCTGCTTTTCATGAGTTTTAATGTGTGTTTGAAAGATATACAAGTTCAAAAGTGCCATTTGCTTGACTTTGACTCGTTCACCCTTTGGTGTGGTGGAAGAATACGGATGCATATGGAACAGAATATATATGTACTTGGAGCTGGGAGACCTCTTGGAGTAATGTCCTCACTTTACAAATGAGGACACCATGTCCAGACAGAGAAAAGAATGCACTGGAAGAGCATGGGTCGCTAGTGGCCAAGCAGGTCCTGCATGCAGACCCTCCGACCTTTACTCTAGTCCTCCCCACCTGGCAGGGTAGGTATCAACCGCAGTGCCATAGCCAAGGCACTCCCACCCCAGCCTAGGTGGCCTCCTGTGTGCCTCTGTTCTTCTGCCTGAAGAAAGAGTTCTCTGGAATAATGGCTGCAAAGCCCTCTGAAGTTCCAAAGAATTAAATATATATAAATATATATATGGCCCAGACTAATGAGTCTCTCTCTCCTCATTTCAGGGCCAGAACATTTCTAGAGTTAAATAATGCAAGACTGAATATGGATGGGATCACTGACTGAGAGCAGCAGGGTGGAGATGTGGAACTGTGAATAAATTACGGCACTTGAGCCAGAGTGGGGTGCAAAAGGGAACTGGAGAAGTGCAAAAGATAAATGAGCCTTCAGATGGGAAGGATGGAAATGAGAAGATGAGGCTGATCTGGGAATGGGCAGAGCTCACAGTGACAGCCTCAGCTCAGGACAGGACAGGAGAGCCAGAAGCACCCACCCAGGTAGGTAAGAAACCAGGTATGCCCAAGACCCTCCGTCCTCCTCCAAGGCCTGGACCCCACGTAAGGGTGTGTATGAACCTCTCAGTCTTGTACGTGAAGCCCACCCACATAGGAGGTTCCCCAAGACTAAGCCATGAAACCCAGCTCCTGGGAGATGATTCCCCCACAAGGGATTGCAGAGTGAGTCACGTGGAAGCAACATACATCAAGACCCACATGCACACTTGTGTTTTAAAGGATCTTAGGAATCCTGCCATTAAAAGAAATAGTTTAAGTTATAACATTTCCCAAAGCTACCCAACCACAGAAGCCCCCTGCTCAGCCTCACCTGGTGAGACAGTTGGAAACAACTTCCTGGCCCTTCGTCCTGTCTCCAGATGGCCGCTTCTCCTGAAATGACACCATGTTTGCCTCCTACATGATGGCTCTGAGTTCTGGGGCTCCAGGACCCCTAATTCATCCAGTTTTATCAAAGTTTAGTTTACCCCAATCACCCGAGCGAGACTGGGGAAGCCTGATGTCTCCATGCAGACTCCATGTCGGGCTCTGGCAAAGAGCCGGTGGAGGGTGAGGCTTGTGCTCAGGAATCTGGACTGTGGTGACTAAGGAGCTGCCCGTGGCTCCCTGACTATGGGACTGTGGCCTGGCAAGGACACCCATCCCTATTGTAAGGTAGGTTCTAGAAGGGGAATTGCTCCATTGAGAGGAATCACAACATATTCTAAGAGAAGATAGAGTGACCTGGTATCCAGGACGATCCCCTGCAAATGAACTGTCTTCTATGAGACCTGCCCCTGCAAGAAGTCACCCTGCCGGTTAACAAAGTCCCCCAGCCACCCAGGACCGACTTCTTTCTGACAGGTCACACTCCCAGGGAAATCCTGGAGCTCTGTCACATCACAGCAGTCTCCATGCTCAAGGCATTAAAAATGAAAGTTAAATACTACCCCTGCAGGCCCTCCCACCAGCCCCAGCCAAGTGACCCAATGGACTGTCCTCTCTTCCCTCCAGGGAGCTCAGCTCCAGGACCACGGGCCTGTCTCCTCTCTCACTTCCCCTCTTCACTGAACAATGGCCCTCTCATTAGTCGGCCACCTTCCCTGTCCACAGGCCTTTATTACAGTCACTGTGGAATCAGTCACTGCACTTTCCAACAAGAAGGAAAAGAGCAATTAGGGGCTTTTGTCTCTGCCTGGCGGCCTGGCTGACATCATCCTCCATTCTCCCATGTGCAGGGCTCATCGTTAACCCCCTTCTCTCCCTGCTGCCTCCTGTCAGGAAGTCAAGCCCAGGGACACACAAAGGAACAGTATAATGAGTTGCAGCCCCCATGTCTGGAAAGGCCAGGGCCTTGGAGACACTGGGAAAAGGAAGAGATATACTGGGCAGCCCAGAAGCTACAAAGAGACCCGGATAATCACTGAGGTCACTGGGGGCAGCTCACAGCCCTGCCTTGGCTGGTCCTGGCTCCAGCAGCCATCCCTTGCCTAGTTTCTAGCTCAGTGGAGAAGACTACAGGCTGATTGTTTGGGCTATTTGCACAGCATCAAGATCATCCCTAGATGTTAGCTATTGCAAAGCCTTTCTTGAGGGCCTTCTGTGTGCTAGTCAATGAGGGAAGGGCAGAATATAAGACAGACCCAGGCCCTGTTCTCAGGAAACCTCAGATAAATTCTGAGCTGGCCAGAATAATCGTGCTGGGAAACTCTACAAAAGGGACCCATAATCCAGTGTCAAGTGTCAGAAATCACTTCCTGCATAAAGTAACACTTGGTTAAAGCCAGAAAGATGGGCAGTAGTTCACTCTGGGAACATGAGCATTGGGGTGAAGTGTGAAATCGCCCTAGCATGGGCTAGAAGATGGCCCACCTGCAGAATGCCAGGGCCATGTGGTTGAAATGTGGCAGATGAAGCCAAAAACGAAGGCACAGAGTCTGCGACATCAAGCTTGCCTTCCTACCTCACAGGCACCAATGGAGAAACCCCTTAGGGGAGACCCCAGGGCTCTCCAGCTTCTGACAAAACACTCCTTGTAAAAGCACACTATGTCCTCTTATGCGGAGCTGCAGTTTCTAGAAACACCATCCTTAAATGCTGGTGAAATTGGTCAGGGTGGTGAATAGGAAAGAATATGAAGCTTTGAATTCAGGCAGGTGGGATTCAGATCCTAGGTCAGCTGCTTGCCAGATCTATGAATTGTCCACATTATACTATCCTCTCTGAGCCTTTGTTTCCTCATCTGATATGGAGAAATAATGTCTCCCTCAGTTGGGAGGGCTAACTGAAAGGATAAGAATACAGTATCTAGCCCAAATCTCACCTTTTCTTAGCCATTGGTCCTCTTTCTCCTTGTCAGAGAATATGACACTTCATCTTTATGAAGCTTCACTGCATCTCATTATTCCTAGTTCCTTGGACTCTTCCCCATATCACATGATTTCCAAGTTCTTTACCTAGTGGTTGCAGATCCCAGGATAATTCCATCCCTAAATGTCAGCTGCATGAAGGCAGGGTTCAAATGCCTTACCTCTAATACCCAGCACAATGCCCGGCACATAGCAAGCAATCGACATACACTAGGTGAGTGAATGAACACAGTCTGGACATGTTGCTTTTATTAATGCAACCCATGGTGTTCTCCATTTATAAACCATCTGTCATTGTCTTGACTCCTATCAGTCTAACAGACGAGAACCCCAGGACTTTCATCTATGAGCAGCTATTGTATGAAGCCTTTCTCATCCTATCCACATTCAGTTGGTTTTTAAACTAAAGCAGGACTTTGATTTATACCTTCTACATTTTATCTTGTTAGTTTCAGTTCATTGTTCTGCCCTGCCCAGACCTTTTTTGAATCTTCACTCTGTCATCCAACACATTAGCTTTCCCATCTCACTTTGCTTCATCTATCAATTTGCTAAGCAGGCCTCCTATGTCTCCATGTATCAGAGGATAAAATGTCAAAAAAGACAGACACACTGTATGGTTCTTGATGGAAATTGACAAGCCTCCCATGACCTAGCAATGGACTTTCTGATCAACACGAGTTCATTCATCAACACTCCTTGGGAACAATTGTTCAATCAGTGAGGAAGCCACCATTCAACACACAGAAATATATATACAAATCCTAACTATCATGTATAGGATAGTGGCTACCAAGTGTTAGGCCTACTGTAATGGTCAGTTTGAATTGTTAACTTGATTGGATTAAGAGATGCCTAAGATTAAGCATCTCTGGATGTGTCAATGAGGGTGTGCCTAGAATGATTGGCATGCGGGATAGCAAACTGAAGTGGAGACCCTCCCTAAGCATGGGCAGCACTGTCCAATAGGATGGTGGCTTGGATGGAATAAAGTTGGAAGAACAAGGAAGCAGCAGCAGATGCAAGCTCCATTCTTCTTGAATGGGTTCTTGATTGCTGCTGCAGTTGCCTGAGGACATCAGACTCTCCCTCCTTTGATCTTCCAAAACAGACTCTGCCAGTGATTCTCCAGGGAGTTTCCAGAAGCCTTTGGTGTAGGACTGGTGTAGGACATCATTGATCCCTCTTGTTCTGAGGCTTTAGCCTGTTGGACTGTGCAGCTACTGGTGCCTCCAACTCTCCAGCCTGCAGACGGCCATTGTGGACAATCCAACTTTTGGCTGTGTAAGCCAATCTAATGAATCCCTTTCTTATAATCATACCTCCTATTGGCTCTGTTCCTTTAGAGAACCCTGACTAGTGTACTTCCTATGCACTATCTCATTTAACTACCCTACCACCACCACAAGGCAGAGGTGGCATGGAGAAATGTAGTAGGTAATAGGTAAGACAGACTGCCTGAGTTTTAGCTCTGACTCTGTCCCCTGCTGGTTGGGTAACTTCAGACAATAAATTGTCAGAGTGGGCCATTTGCTGCAACAAATTACTTCAAAATTTAAGTGACAGAATACTATGAAAGTTTATTTCTTGTGTGTGTCAAGCCCAATCCCATGAGAGTGGCCCTTCCACAGGAGGGTTTGGGGTCTAAGCTTCCTTATGTCTAATGGCTTCTTCTCAGAGCCTCCACTGGGTCTATTCTGTTTAGCCAAAGTACAAAGCGGGTAGGAAATTCCAAGACAAGTATAGTTCTGATATGTCCCTGTGTCCACTATCCAGTAGTCAGAATTATTCACAGGAGCAATCTCGAAGCACTGGAGCCTGGGAAATGTGGAGCATGTGGATTGAGGAGGGCTGTCGTCTCGGTTTCAGGTGCAAGAGCCTGCCCCTCTTACTCACGTAAGCCATGGACATGATCATGGTCCCTGCTCCACATGTCTGCCTTAGTCGGAGGTCTCCAAAGAGAACCAACAGGACAGAGAAAGGAAGAGAGAGAAAAAGAGATTTTCCTTAAGGGATTGGCTCACATGACTGTGGTGTCTAGATGTTGGAAATGTGCAGGGCAGACTGGAAATTACAGCAGGAATTCATGATGCAGATTTGTGTTCAAGGGCAGTTTGGGGCAGAATCCCTTCCCATTGGGAGACCTCGGTCCTTTCTCTTAATACCTTCAACTGGTTGAATGAGGCCAACCCACATCACGTAGGGTAATCTGCTTTCCTCAAAGTATATCAAAATGAGTCCCACTTATATATGTAATTATAATACGCTAATTAAAATAAAATTAATAGCAATGAAGGGAGATCAATAGAGTAGAGGGAGGAGGAAAGGAAAGAAGGGGAAGGTATTAGAGAATGAAACCGATCAAATTATTGCATGTATGAGTATGGCATAAAGAATCCCACTATTATGTATAATTATAATGCATAAATTTTAAAAAAAGAGTTTAGAAAATGGTGATACTGACACTTTTTTTTTTTAGATTAGACCGGGTAAATGGCTTGAGAATTTTTATTATGCCAAATAATTTCAATTTTTTTATTACATTGAGTTCTTTAGGAAAATATAAAGCCTATATAATAATAACTCAAAATTTTTCCATTAAATTGGGTTAATTTCTAGGAAAACATGAGACGTGCTTTTAGAAATTTGGGATAATAAGTAAACTATGCATTTTAATTGGTAAGGAAATATTTTCACTGGAGAAGTGTTTTCAAAGAGTTTTAATTTTTATAATTACTATAAAATAGACTTGATATCATAGGGAATCGTAAAAGAAAAAATAGAGATATTATTGAAAATTAGTTATTCTATGTAAACATAGATATTTGCAACAAACTGAATTATACTCGCTAAGAATTTCCACATGCAGATACATTGTAATATAATTTGATATTGTGAGGATTTTTGTACTCTTTCTGAAAAAAAGTTAGTCACATCTTTAAAACATACTTTTACAGCAACATCTAAATGATTGTTTGCCCAAACAAGGGAGCACCATGACCTCACCAAGTTGACACACAAAATTAAGTATACAATGCCTGAAAACTATATAACCCCAAATAGACAAGTTCCTGATACATAACACTCAGTAAATACTTGCAATTATTATTATTCCATTTTACAGATGAAGAAATTAGCACTGAAACAATTAAAGTAACTTCCCAGAACCACAACTGCCAGACTTTAGTGCCAGTTCCTCTCGACTCCTTCCCAGGGCTCTTCGAGGCCCATTAGTTGTGAGAAGCGCTGGCCTGTGGGCAGAGAGTAGGACAGAGGATAAGCCTGTGGTATAAACTAGTCAGATGGCAGGCTTTGTGCAGGCAGAGTGCCCACCATTGAGTATGTCATGGGAACTCTGAAATACTTGCCAACTAAAACATCAGTGCACCTATAAAGTAACAGATGTAATACCAGAGATAGAAGTGGCTCCTCCCCAGAACAGATGCCCAGGTATTGGGTTTTCTTTCTTGCCCCAGTCTGGCTGGGCACAATTCAGGAGCCACTTGTCAAAAGAAACGAACTTTATTTTTAGAACTACAAGCCAAACAAAACAGCTCCTCAGGGAAAAAACCCTCAGAGCCCAACTGCCACCACTGGCTTCCCACAAGCCTCCCAACCTCCCCCACTCCTCCTGCTCTTGAGGCCGATTGGCTGGGTCGCCTGGGCATAGCCAAAAAAAGTCCCCCAATGAGCAGCTCCATGGTCTGAAAGGGCGGGGAAACAACCCAATGAGCATCACCGCAGAGGAGCCAATCAGTTGGCAGCTAGAAGTTGCTGGGGCTGCTGTGAGCCAATCATCAGCTGGCAGCTGGAAGTTTGCTGGCAGCTGGAAGTTTGCTGGGGCCCCTTCGGCTGTGGCTCTCAACGCTTTACTGTGATCTTTTATGCCCCCGTGTTTACATCATTAGTCTAAGTTAGAGTGAGTTGGTCCAAAGTATTCATGGTGGTAAGACAGCCTGCTCACAAAGTTCCTCTCTGCTGCATGAACATTGGTCAAGAGTCATCTGGTCAGAGGATGGCAAAGGTGAGCCTGAGACCCTGAATGCAGTTCCCAGGCTGATGACAACAGAAACCTGGAAAACTAGGCTAACTGGGACCCACAGACACCTGTGAGTCATCATCGACTGCAGGACCCATCAAGAAGCGTGACTCCCTGCCAGGGAGTAACTGAAACTGACCAGAAGCGCAGACAGCAGAGAACTTCCTGTGATGGGAGTCTGAGTCAGATGCTGTTTCCTGCCCTCTGCTGCTCCACGAAGCCCCTGGCTGGCCTGTGGTGACCTCATCCAAGCTGAGCCATTAGCACCATCTCTAGATACTTCCTTCAGTTGAACAGAGCCCTGGTCTAGACATTAAAAGCCTCACATATGGTCATAAAGCCATCGATGGCTCGGAGGACGTTCTGACCCATGTTGAGCCTCAGGTTTTCCCTCTGCGACGTGAGTCTAATCTCCACAAGTCCGAACAGCTGCAGGCGAGGCTGTTTCAGTGTGGCTTTGGAAACCACAAGGCATCATCCATGGGCATCACCATTGGCATTACTGTTTTCAGGAACGAGACTGGAGGCAGCTCCCATCCAATAGGGCTCTCTCTCCCCGTTCCAGCTGGTGCAGACTTTGGCAGGGAGGCACACAGACACCAGTTCCTCAGCGACTCTGCCCACGGCCATGGCCATGGCATCTCAGCCTGTGAAAGCCGATCGCATCTGGCTCCATCCCGATCCCCAGGCATTTCAGCCAAATGAAAGGAACTGGAGCAGTGAGGCTTCAGGTTATGCATTCTGTGTAGGCAAAATGATGGCGTTCCCAGAAGATCTCCTCTCGCTAAGCCCCAGAACCCGTGAATATGTCACCCTTTTATGTAGCAAAAGGGACTTCCCAGGTGTACCCGTGAATATGTCACCCTTTTATGTAGCAAAAGGGACTTCCCAGGTGTGATTAGAGGTAAAGCCTTTGGATTGGGAGGGAACACTGGATCACCCAGGTAGACCTCATCTAACCATTGGAGTCCTTAAACATGGGAAGCTTTCCCAGACACAGTCAGGGGGAAGCATGACTACAGGAGGGTCAGAGAGATGGGGCCAGGCTGGCCACAGAGATGGAGGAAGGAGCCAAGACCCAAGCACTGAAGGTGACCTGCAGAAGCTGAGAAGGCAAAGAAGCCATTCTCCTTTCCGCCTCCAGAAAGGAAGGCAACCCTGTCCCCATCTCGATCCTCCCCCGGTGAGCCCCCTGGGAGACCTCAGGCTCCAGAGTGGTGAGATCATAAATCAGGGCTATTTTCAGCCACTAAATGTGTGGCGATTTGTTACAGCAGCCACAGAAAACTCCAAAGATGGAGACATGAACATAAAATGAGGGACCCCAGACAAGTCCCAGACCAACTCTCCCGTCTTTCCTCCTCTGAAGCAATTTCTGTTCAGGCCTGAGGAAGGGCCGGCCGGGGTGGGGCATGATGGATTTGAAGTGAGCCATAGCCACACCTGGATGGCCTTCCTTCACAAGATCTCCATGGGTTTCTGGGGTTTGTATGTATATGAAATAGGCAGGAAGACGTCAATGCCCTTCCTACACCCAGCCCCATTCTAAGAATGGAGGACGGTCCCCTGCCTCCTCATCTCCCCACCCCCACCTCCATTCTCCAGCAGGCATCCACCAAGGGGCAGGCCATCACCCTCCCTGGTGCCTCCTTCCCACCCTGGCAACAGCCAGCAGCCACGCATTCTCAGCTCCTAGCCATCTCTTCAGAGCGATGAACGCCATCGTTAGAAGGCTTTCATTATCAGCGGCTTGCACGCAGCTGATGTTGATTTGATAGAATCCAATTTAGCATCCCACTCTGGGCTCTGCTCCATAAGCATTTGGGTTTAGCATGTACAGGCAGTTTGATGCCGTCTTGATGGCCTTTTAAGCGGCTGAGAAAATTGCTGGCATGGCAATTTGGTGGCAGGCAGGCTCCTGAAGGGTGGGGCTGGAGGAACGGGAGAAAGAGCAAGAGACCACGGGGACATTTTAGCCCCTATCTATAAAAGGCAGCTAAGAGTCTGAGAATCATACATTAAAGTGGAAAGAGAACAGACACCCCCAGGGTATCAGGATGGGGGGCCAGGGGGCTCCACACAATGAGAACATGGTGCCTCTTTCTGGTGGGCCCAGCAGTACCCCCACACCAAGTCAAAGTACCTGCACAGGGCACATCACTATTCCCAAAACCCTTCTCTACATTATCTGTCCGTTGCTTGCAGAATGGATGACATTTGTAGAGGGCAGTGATGTGCTGGTTTATGTCTAACCCCTGGATCCATAAGTTAAAAAGCCCTGAGTTGTAGCATTTGCCCATTAACCTGGTGTAAATATTCTCACTGTCAACTTTAAGCCACCAATGAGATGTCGCCGAATGTAAACTTGGGAAGAGGTGTCCTTGGCGGGTTGTATGGATTTGAGTGAGCTTCTCCTCACCAGTGTTACAAGGCTATGTGATATGCTGAATTTGAGCCCATTTTACAACCGAACAAACTGAGGCCCAAAGTAGTTCTGACTTAGTCATGAGCTAAATGCCCTTCCCCAAACCAGGGGCCACGGATGCCAGGATGCTACAGCTCCTTCAAGTGGACAGATGCGTTGCCTGAGGTCCAGTAGAATCCAGCCTGGGCCAGAGTGTGACATGGCAGACAGGCAGCCCTGTGCTTTCCCCCACCTCGTCCACACTCCTCATCAGAATGTGCTTGTCCTTCTGGGGTAGCAAGGGAGGCACAGGCATGGGGGGGGGCAGGGCCACCCGCTACTAGAAGGCAGCTCTTCTCACCTGTGCAGCTCTATTTCACTTCAGGAGGCTGAGTGGCTCTGAAGTCACTCTCTCTTTGCCATGTCACCTGGCTCTTTCCTCTGTCTAGCCAGAGACTAGACTTGAAATCGTGTGTGTGTGTGTGTGTGTGTGTGTGTGTGTGTGTGTGTGTGTCACAGTCTCTGCCTTCTTCTCTTCTCTGTGTACTAGCCTTTCACCTGAGAGGCCTTTTATGGAATGCAGCAGAAGCCCAGGGTCCTGTGTCACATCCCTGGGCCCACTTCTAATTTTAGTCCCAGCTGTAGTACCAAGTCACCCCACAGACACAGTGTCCTGCTTCAGGGATACACAGGCCAGCTCGCCTTCTTTGGCCCCCCAGCACCTTCTCTGTCACTGTGGCTTTAACCTGCACACAGCAGCAGCCGAAGCACAGAGGAAGTCACCCCTCCAGGGGCAGTTGTCAACTAACAAGGGCACGAGCTGGTGGGAAAATGCCCCATCATCCTCAGGCAGATCCTTCTGGGGGTCTTCACTAAGCTGCTCAAGAAACCCTAGCAGCACAGAGATTCCATAACCTTCCTTCCTTCTGCTGCCTTCTCCTGCCTCCTGGTCATGCCCAAATAAACCACCTGCACCCAAGTCCTTGTCTCTGGCTTTGCTTGCAGATATAATGTAAGCCCTCAAGGTTGTACCGTTCATATTCTCATTTTACAGATGACGAAATTGAGGCTGTGTATCTGCCGGACTTCACTGAAACAGGCCCAGGAATGATAGCCTACCCTCCCAGACTGCCCATGAAGATGTTGGTTCTTGGGGTTGCAGCCACAGCCCACATTCACTGAGATGGCTGGGACAGGGCCACCCCATCCCTGCGGGTTGGGCACACAGGTCTTGGCCATAATGAGCACCCTATGAGCAGCAGGTGGATTTTTCGATTAGTTCTTGACCAAATCTCTTTGAAAAGAAATCCTTTTAAGGCTTGACCTCATTTTGGTTTTGCCTTTTTAAATAGCTGTGTACACACAAACACACAACATATAAAGAGGTGTAGACAAGCCATGCATCCTTCATCCAAAAATCTGAAACTTTTTGAGTGCTGACACGATGCTCAAAATGTTTTAGATTTTGGAATCTTGGATTTCAGGTTTTGAAATTAGGGGAAGCTCAACTGCAATTGAGTCTCATATACCTGAAAATGTAATAGGTCGCTTAATGAAGACGGGATGCATTCTGAGAAATGTGTTATTAGGTGATTTCAACATTGTGCAAACTTCACGGAGGGCACTTACAAAATGGAAAGAGCTTCCCATCACTAAGGGATAAGAAGTTTCAGCTCAGTTATAATCTTAGGGGAACACCATGATACAGGTGGCCTGTAGTTGACCAAGACATCATTATGCAAATAGTGAGCATCATCTTCTCAATTCCAAAAAACCTGAAATCTGAAGTACTTCTGGCTCCAAGCATTTTGGATAAGAGATAACTAACCCGTGTATCTGTATAAATATATTATATATGTATATATTGCTCTTATATATCATATATATTTTGCTCATATACATTTATACACACACACACACTATATATATATATATAGTGTGTGTGTGTGTGTGTGTGAGTGTAGTTAAAAGGGTGGAAAGAAACTCAACAAAAATGTTAACAATACTGGATAGTAGCAGATAATTTTTTGTGCACTTTTTATCTTTTAAGTTTTTTCCCACAATGAGATATTGTCATGATAAGATGGAAAAGTGTTGTTTTTTAGAAAAAGGAAGATCAGACCTTTGAGGGAACTCGTCATTACCCTAGGACACTGGGAAGGTCAGCAGGGTGCTCGGCACACAGAAGCTGTGCCCTGACAGTGGGTTCTGTCACCTCCTAGGACAACCGACGTGGAGAAGGCAGGGAGAGGAGAGAACAGGGGAAGGTGGGGGAAAGGAAGACTTAAAAGTCAGACATGGTGCCCTCCCCCAGGGCACACTGGTGGGTTGGGGTGAGGAAGGGAGCCGGGAGAAGAGACCTGGGGACCCCAGGTCCATGGCAGGGACAAGGGAGCTCAGACTGTGCCATAGTGACGGTGATTTGAGGATGGAAAGGCCTGAGTCTGGGTAAGATGCCAAGAAAGAGGGAAGGGGCAGGACCTCAGCCTTCGTCAGGCTACCGTAAATGCGCTGGGTGACACTCATCGCCATCCCAGCAGGGCCGGGGGCACCAGCTCCCCTTTGCTCATTCACTCCATCAGTTTGGATGGAGCACTCCTGCTCTAGACACTGCCCCTCAGCTCAGCAAGTCCCCGCACTGTGATGGCCTTACTTACTGTGTCCCCCCACCACCTGTCAGCACGCTCACTGGTGGACATCCAATAAACACAAATTATGAGCCAATCCAAGGGGAACTCCCCTGTAGACGGAAGAGGCGGTTGATCTGGGTAGAAAGAAAACTGAGCAGAAGACCAAGTCTTTTTTCTTCCTACTTTCCAGTGACCCACCTCGTGACTTTTGGCAAAGGTCAGCTATTTACTTAGTGATCCAGTGTCCCCAAAAGAGTTTATCCTAGAAGAAAATGCAGAGAAGAAATACGCGTCGTCCATTATGTGTACCTCTACTACCTCTAACATGCTGTCTACTCTTCCTTGGGATAAAGAGCTGGCGTAAACAGTGAGCATGAGTCAATTCTGTCTCAACTCCTAGAGCCACAGGACGTCTAAAGGGGTCAGCCAGGGGGGTCCATGAGCAATGAGACTATAAAGACCAACGCGGGGCTGGGACACTGCTTGGGTGGGTGTGGATCTCTGTGCTTCTCTTCAGTGGTCTCTCCCCTGGGACCTTAGGGTCTTAATGGAGGCTGCATTAGCTAATCTAGTGATTCAATTAGTTCTAAATGCTCCTGGCCTGAGAAGCAGGGAAGGCAAGGTGGGGATCTGCTGACTCCTATTTGCCGGAAAGGGTTTCCCAAGACAATGGAGATGCAATTTGAATTCCCAAGCCCCCCACTTCCTTCTCCATCCAAGAGCCCCTGGGTCATCAACGCCAATGAGATCATGCCTTGAAAGCACTCTGTGAACTATTTCTATTACTCATTCCCTCCTGGGGGCAGGGCCCCCCCTCACCCAGAGGTGAGGGGCTGCAGTGGGGCACAAGGACCAGGAAGTTTTTGAGGGGAGGGCCCCGGCCTAACCTTGAGGGATCCCAGGCCAATGGTCTTTCTGACCACGCAGAACGTGAACAGCATTTCAACTCTCTGCAGAAAACATGGACCCTGTGTGGTGACAGCGCTGCTCAGCTCTGGGCCACACTGCTCAGAGGGACCTCCTGCACCGCTCACTAGGGACACAACCACACACTGTCCCTACCACTTCTGGTTCTGGTGTTTTGTTTTGTTTTGTTTTTGAGTGACCTAATTCCCCAAAAGAGACCTTACTTGGAGGACAAGGACCACGTATTAGGTGTCAGTGCCTGGCAGAAAGGGATGGTCTATAAAGGAAAATGTGGGTGAAGACAGGACAAAGTGGACTGGAGGTGGGTCTACCATCTGCAGGTCCTTTTTCTCTCTGGAGGAAGGTACACTTTTTCCAAAGTCCAGGAATTGCTCCTACCCCCTAGAAGATGTTGGCATTGGGAGGGGTCACTTTACTCCTCTGATTCCAATTCCTCGTATGTAAAATGGGAGGGTTAGATTGGAAAAGTGATTCCAACTTTGGCTGGGCGTGGGAATCGCCTAGGAAGCCTCAAAAACTGTCCATGCCCAGGATAGGGGTGTAGCTAAATGGTAAGAGCTCTTGCCTATCATGTGAACGGCCCTGGGTTCAATCCTCATCACTGCAAATAAATTAAAAATGACCATGTCTTAGCCCCCATGCACAAAGAATCTCATTTAATTGTTCTGGGTATACATGCCTTACCTAGACTCCCTGCTTTCCCAGAGCAAGGGAGACCTTCTTCTCACCCATTCCCCTCCCCATTGGCACCCCACGGTGGTTTATGAAGTGTATCATCCTTAAAGCAAAAGAAGACATCTTCTCCTGAATGGCTCCTCCCTATTCCCAAAAATCTAGCCAAGTCGAGGGAACATGGATAACACGTCCAGATACCTATTATCTTAAAGGACCCTGGCTCTCTCATACATAGGCTGGGATGTTAAGAGCAAGTTCATGTTCCATAGGAAATCACTTTCTTGCATGAATGTCAGGACATTTGGGCCTGGGGATGCCGGTCACATATGCAAACGAAGCAAGCTAACGCTGATGACGTCACTGCTTCTGCAGCTTCTCTGAGTGGGGATGGGTGCGGAGCTGAGACCCTGTGGAAGAATGCATGTCCATGGTCCAGCTGGCTGCCCCTGGACAAAACACCATGAGGGAGAAGAGGTGCCACCTGAAAGCACCGACTGTCACCACCGAATTCTTCCTGGAGCAGTCGCTGATCTCTCGTAAGCTTTCCCCAATAAATCACATGCCTCCCATGCTGTCTCTGGGCACTTCCTCTGCCTCTCTGCCACCTACCCCATCACCCTGGCAAAACCAGGCTGTGGATGGGACGTGGAGATGAAGGGAGGAAAGGAAAGAAAGTCCAAGCGACTGCCAGAGGCTGTCACGGTCCCTCCAGGAAACGGCCTCTTATCTGTTCATCTCCTTTCTTATTCATCCGGAAAACCTCTTCAATACTGAAAGCGGTCGGCCAGATACACGAGAGGTCAATTTTTAGCACATTATCCACTTTCGCCGGCAGCAAGATCAAGAACTGTTTCCCCAGAAGACACTCAGAGCCTGAGTTGGAGCCAGGGAGGGGCGCCCAGGAAGAAGGGGCACCGCTGCCTCTCCTGGCAAGGCTGGGCTCGCGGGGTCCCACCTCGGGCCACCTTTCTCCTCACAGCACTTGTCCAAGCACACTGAGATCCA